ATGTTATGGCTTTTCCAACAATCAATAGTAATAACATATTTGAAATTCGGTTTAAAGGGAATGGTTTAAACTAAAATGAAGTTTCGCTTCAGCGAGACTGTGGATTAGGCCACTTCCGAAGATTGCAGAAATGCCATCTTCTCCTTTAGAATAGCTCTTTCATCCTTCAGTATCGGATCTCCAGGAACAGAACCCACAACTCAGTCTGTCTCCATGGGAGTGTGGGGGAGTGGGGTACACACCGTGCTAGAGAGAAATACCACTGTAATAAACTAGACTAAACCCATGGATTAAAATCAAATCCTCTAAGGAGCCCAGTGAATAGTCAGAAGATGTATAATATTTAGGTAGAGGACTTTGTATTTCTTTTTTAGGACCGCCTTAACCACTATGCTACCTGCTGGCCCTCTCCTCTGTCTTTTGTAAGTTGAGAGAGAGAAAGAGAGAGAGAGAGAGAGAGAGAGACCCCCTTTACAGGGTTTTACACCACTCTTGTCCCCCCAGTGTTACAGGGCTGCGCTGGCCACCTGGTCAACCCGAGATCCCAGTCCTGGCCTACGCTGCTCCAGCATTACGGAGTGGCATGTTACAGCCAGTGTCAGGGGAGCTGGGCCCATTCCTGGCTCTTTTTTAGACAGCCCCACCGTGTTGCCCAGGCCGGCCTTAAGCTTGCAGTCCTCCACCCTCGGCCTCCCTGAGTTGCTGGGATCACAGACGCATGCTGCCACACCTGGCCTTGGGTTCAATTGGGAATCGAATCTAGGCTACCCGTACAGTCCCAGCCTGCAGGACACATCATCTTAGCATCTCAGGCTTCTGCGCTGGACTCCCTGAATTGAATTTTAACGGTAACCAAAAAAAGAAAAAATGATGTGAAACCAGGTTTGCATAATTTAAACTAACCACTCAAAGCCCAAGAGTCTTCTTTTTTTTTTTTTTTTTGGAGAGGTTTTTGCTATAGGGCGCGTGTGCTCGCCAGAAAGACAGAAAGAGACAGAGAGACAGAAAGTGAGAAATCACCCACCAGGGGGAATGGCCACGCCGCAATCCCTTCTCCATTCTCCTCTCAGGATCTTGGGCATGCACGCACATGCACCCGGCATGAGTTTAAGCCACCGGGTCTGGGACGCGAACCACAGTCGACTACATGGCTATTATGATAACTGCTGGTCCCAGAGTCTTCTGATGGCCATTTAGCCAAGCATTCACCTTTTCCATCCATCTACTCATTTACTGCAAAGAAACTTATATCTGGCAGCCTGGGTGGTCTGTCCTGACACATGCAGTCTGTCCCTCCCAAGCCAAACGTACACCAACGACTGCTTAGACAGATTCTCCTCCCAGCGACTTGCTGTTCGACTGAGCTGCCACATCGACAAATGGGGTAACAGATTTGCAGGGAGGACTATGAGTTGGAATCAAGTATAAAGAGGTGGAATTAATCTTGATATAAAATGACATTTTGTTACCACGAGACTTAGCTTAATTCCTCTCTTAAAAATATAACGAAGTTATAGATTTCAGTGACATTTCTCTTTTAAAGTTCAAAACGTTTGGGGCCAGCAGGTGGTGTAATGGTTAAGGTGCTGGACTCACACGTGGCTGACTGCAGCTTGCGTCCTGGGCCTGGTGGCTTGACACTCACGCTAGGCATGTGTGTATGTATGCCCAAAATCCCAAGAGGAGAATAGAGGACAAGGGACTGTGGTGTGGCCATCCTCCCAGGGGTGATTTGCTTTCTATCTCTCTGTCTTTCCAGTGAGTGCACATCCCCATAGTAGATCACTAATTTTTACATTAGCCCTGAAAAATTTCCAAGAAGTTTATAGGAATTACATTATGATAGGCCCCTGGGGAGATTTTCCCCACTCGCTCAGGACAGTCTATACTATGGATGCAAGGAAGTCAACAAAATGGATCATTTCCAATAGTAAATTCTTTCTTGTTTTGTTTTCTTTTTAGAGGTTTTTGTCTTTGGGCACATGTATTCACCAGAGAGAGAGACAGAGACAAAGACAGTGAGAGGGAAAATGAGAAATCACTCCCCAGGGGGAATGGCTAACCCCTCCTCCATTCTCCTTGCAGGATCTTGGACACACACACACACACACACACACACACACACACACACGCAACAGGCATGAGTTTTAAGCCACTAGGTCTGGGACTCCAACCGTGGTTGGCTATGTGGGAATCCAGTGATGTAACTGCAATGCAGTCTGCTGGTCCCCACTGGTGAATTCTTATTGAAAAAATAAATGTAGCAGCCTAATGTTATCTTTTTAAAAGCTTCTCTCTTCCATGTGTGAGAGTGAGGGGAAGAGAGAAAAGCAGGCTGGCAGCCAGCAAGCCGCTTCTGACAAGGTCTTACCATGTGGGGCTCTCCCCAGTCAGGACCAGAGGTGTGCATGCTTTGGCCAGCCAGTATGCTCAGTCAACCCAGGGTCTAAACTCCTGGTCTTCCACGTGGCTCTAGCACTGCGGAGCAGCACCTGCACTGCCGTGGCTTGACCGCCAGTGGTATCTTTTGACTTACTACGTAATATCAGAGAGGTCAACACTGCATCTTAGTTACAAAGAACTTCAGTTTGAACTCATTCTTTTCCACTCATAGCCGCCATTTCTGCTTCAGTCCCACATGCCAAATAGTAACAAAAGCTAGGATGGGTCAGTACCTCAGTTACAAAATAGAGAGGAGTAGGGACTCATGGACTGAAAGGTAATTCACAGTTCAATAAGAGATCTAACGCAAGCTGCCTTGGTTCATGGTGACAGACTGAAGGAGGGATTTTTCCGAGTACAGGACCAGTGGCTCTGTGTATTCTCCAGAATAATGCTTAAGAGATGTTAAAAAAGGGGAGGGGACAGCAGATGGCATAATGGTTATGTCACCGGACTCCCACGTAGTCAACCATGGCTCAAATCCTGGACCAAGCAGCTAAAATCTCACGCTGGTTGCATGTGCACATGTGCCAAAGATCCCAAGAGGAGGATGGAGAAGAAGGGACTGTGGTGTGCTCATCCCCCATGCCCTGGCGGCTGATGTTTTTGCTTTTGTCTGTTTCTCTGGTGAGTACACATGCCCTATAGCAAAAATCTCCCTCTAAAAAATAAAAAGGAAGGGGGGGTGTCGGATGGTTACAAGGGGTAAAAAACCATTTTTCTGTGAGAGACTCCCACATGGAAAGGTAGCCAGTTCAAGTGCAGAGAGCTCCTTGAGCACGCCAGGTACACGTCCGTCTGTCCTGAGCTGGTGACATCTGGGGTGGGTGGTGGCACTGACCGTGCGGCGTGCGCTTGCTCTCTCCTACTCGCGCCGTCTCTCTTGCTCACGGAAGAAGGAAATAGAGAGTGTGTTTGGTCTCCTGCCAGTTTCACAGTGGGGTTCTGAGTCATACACAGGGGCAGCCGAGGGAACCAGTGCTCCAAGGGTTGAAGTCCATGAGCAGGCGCACACCTTATCGATCTGGAAATCCAAAGTTCTCACTGGTTTTTCTTTCTTTTTTTATTGCCAAAGGTATATGCACTCACCAGAGAAAGAGAAAAACAGAGAGACAGAGAGACAGAGAGAGAGAGAGACCAAGCACCCTCCACTGGGGTGTGGCCATACCACAATTCTCTTCCGTCTGTTCCTCCTTCCCATCAGGATTTTGCCCAAGCACCCTCCCCTGGGTGTGGCCATACCACAGTTCTCCTCCGTCTGTTCCTCCTTCCCATCAGGATTTTGAATGTGCCCAAGCACCTGGCTGATTTTCGAGCTACTGGGGTCAGGATTTGAACTACAGTTAGCCATGTGGGATCTGGTTCCCTTAACCATGGAGCTGTGAAGCCAGTCTTTTAAGTGCATTTCTATCAAAGAACTGACTTGTGATAAAGAAATAACCATATAAATATATTCATGCTGAGTCAGCCTGTGACCTGGAGTTTAAGACGGCTGGATCCCACCTGGTTGACCTCATGGCTTGAGTCCTGGCCCTGGTGGCTTGAGAAACATGCCAGGCACATATGTGTGCATGCTCAAACTTCCAAAAGGAGGGAGAGATGGAGGAGAAGGAACTGAGGTGAGACACCACTCCCAGACGTCACCAGCTCAGAACAAAGGCAGGCATGTACCTGTGTACTTCAATCCTTCCCATCCAGGCCACAATTGCAGGAGAACATGAGTTCCTTTCTAGAAACAGGCCTATTCAGGACCAGCAGATGGTGTGATGGCTACAGTGCTGAGCCTTCACACAGTCGACTGTGGTTTGAGTCCCGGACCCAGTGGCTTAAACTCATGCCGGGCGTGGGTGCGTGCGTGCCAAGATCCCGAGAGGAGAATGGAGGAGAAGGGATTGCGGCATGGCCATCCCCCCTGGGGGGTGATTTCTCGCTTTCTGTTGCTCTCTGTCTTTCTGTAGCAAGCATGTGCCCTATAGCAAAAACATCTCCCCCAAGAGCATGTGCCCTATAGCAAAAACATTTCCCCCCCCAAAAAAAGAAGGCCTATTCAAGACACATCCTTATGTTATGGCTAGAGCTTAATCCAGAAGGTGGGATAGATGATGGTCTACAGATGCTCCCATGCTTTACTCAACAAACATTTATGGAAACACTCGCTGTGTCAAAGTGAGTAAGTACAAGTGCACATATACATGCATTAAGGACAGATAGACAGAAAACCTGCAGTTGGCTGCATCTAATACCTTAGAATTAGTCTTGAGAATGGAAATGGAAAACAGACTTTATATATAAGATGGCCTACTTGTTATGGGATCAGGAGTCTTTCTATATGATGCTATGCCAGGGTACTTACAAATGCAGAGGGCAATATGCATGAGGTGGCTTGTGATATACCCAACAGGGAATGACGGCAATTGCCCCCGTGTAGACTCTGCATCATGGAAAAGGTAAGACCAAGGCAGTAGGCCCTGCTTAGCCCTTCCAGATCTTGGCAATCAACCCAGGACCAGTTTCCGGTTCTGGAGAATGTAAGCCCTGGCCCAGGGCAAGTCTGTTACCTCCATCGCTGCAGGTCCTGGAGTCTGAGGCCAGGCTGTCTGTGGAGCCGGTGGTAAAGCTGACGTGGACACCCCTGAAGGACGGACTGAGGCTATCTGCAGAGCTCTGGCTCACTTTCTCCAAATCAGAGCTGCTCTTGTTCATTTTCAAAAGGTGCCTAGAAAAAGTAAGAACACACAATAAAAGTAATTCAGCTGGTGTCCATTCAGAGACTGGACCAGTAAACAATGAACCTACTATGCTCACGAATCCCGACCAGTGCCAATTAAAAAAAATTGGCAATAAATAATAAAAACAATTTGAAACCTCGTGGATGTGAACAAAAGGAGACCTCCCGACTGTGGTGAGGAGTGAGTCTATTAAATTTAGATAAGCACCAAAATTCCAACTAGGGAGAAGTTGCCTTTATATTCTGACCCCCATTATATCATCTATTATATTTTCCATAACATTTATGCAAAAAATATAATTCAAACCAATGTTTAGAGGTGTACAGAAACTGACTAAATTTTGCAAGATTCTAGGGCAAGTGAATTATAAAGTAGGACTAAAAACATGGGATTTCTTTATTTGCCTGGTGCTCTTGGGCCGTAACTTCAAAGGGTCTAGATTGTTGCTTAGAATTAAGGAAAACTACTTAAATTTTAACCAGACTTTCAATGAAATGCTTAAGGAAAGCCGAGTTAACGTAACTCTCATTCCAGACTACAGAATCTGCTCTTAGGCTTCTTATAAAGTCTTCCATTACATTTCTAAGATAGGAGTATCTTCATATCAGGGACAGGAATACCAACTTCAAGGAAAACACTCGCCCTAGAGAAAACAGCTCCAGCATCAGGTAGAGTTATTAGTTTACTGACTTCTTCCCCTGTCCAAGGATAGCTCCAGCATCAGTAGAGTGCTTAGTTTACTGACTTCTTCCCCTGTCCAAGGACCACATGAATGTCCACTTCAGACCTGACGTTTTTGTCAGGGTCGCAATGTGGGGTGGATCCTAATCAATCCAGTGCCCTCCCTATCGGTGTTGCCCTGCATTTGTCTCAACTACTTTGCTGGTGACATTCCTGTTTCTATGACAGCCTATATCTCAATACCTTCTATAGGAAATATACAATGCAGTACTGATTTAGCATCAAAAGTGCTTTTATTTAATTCACATGACATTATAGTCAACAATTTATTGATTATCTTTGTGTTCAATGTTGCGAGGCTCTTGTTTATTAACAGAAAAGTCTAGAGAAAGTTTATGTGCACCTGAAAGGTGCTCTTTGGAAAACATGTCCCTCTCCTACTCTGAGCCCTTAGAAGGACAATTCAATGGACTAAAAGCTGTGGCAGGATCCTGGCATTAACATTCACAGCAAGGAGTCTGGATTTCAGTACTACCGGCAGGATCTTGGAAGGGTCAGATTTTTAAGAAACACTATGGCAGCAGATAGATGCTCTTTATTTAACCCTCTGGCAAAATGCAGTCATGGAAAGTTGCACACAATATTTTTAATCCTTCTCAGATTAATCTACTGGCTTTCTCAAATGAAGCCAGATCATGACGGTGTGAATAACGACCGCTCCTCAGTCTCGATTAGCCAGCTCCATGGCAATGCAACTACTTTGCTCCCTACAAAGTGGTCTTTAGAGTCTCACTCTTCAAGCCCAGCAAATCGCCACAGGAGAAACTCCAGCACCTGGGATGCAGCGCCTCCCTCCTTGGACATAAGAAAAACAATCAATGGAATGCATGGAAATAGACAAAATTAGGGGCCAGCAGATAGTATAATGGTTACATTGCTAAACTTGCATGCAGTCAGCTGGGGTTCAAGTCCCGGACCTGGTGCCTTAAAAACTCATGTCAGGCGCATGTGCGAGGGTCCCCAAAAATCCCAACAGAAGAATGGAGAAGGGACTGCAGCATGGCCATTCCCTCCCGGGTGTGTGTGTGTGTGTGTGTGTGTGTGTGTGTGTGTGTTACTTCTTGCTTTCTCTCTGGCAAGCGCACATGGCCTACAAACAAAAATCTCTCTCTTAAAAAAAAGGGGAGAAGGGATTTCAACCACTAAAGACCCTCTGCCCAGACTTCACCTTCCTGCTCCTCTGTCTTGCCAGGAGCCAGGATTAGCCCATCACCAGCCATCTATATTTGAGTTCTTCGTGGCCCCATTCAGGGATTTGATTGTGTCACAGGTAAGTTCAGTTAGTGAGTCAAGACCATCAATTATTACCAACATGACTTAGAAGATTCCTAGCAAGGTTTAGAACTCTTAAGTTGCACAAATGAATGACATTTTCTATTCTGGTAATCCGATTTCCATGAAGATCCAAGACATCCAAGCTCTTTAGGTTCTCCAGATTTGAGATTTTTCTAATTCTGTTTTTTTCCCAACAGAAGGACAAGGAGAGGGATCTCAGAGTAGAAAGTCCACTAATTTCTTCAATCTGGTTATTGCATAAACCCAAGAATATTAACTTCTTCTGTAGATTAGAAAAATTTTGGATTTGTGTTATAAAATTGTGTTGAAATTTCAACAAACAAAGGTGTTATTCCCCATTGATGATAGGACAGTCAGCTTTTGTCTTTCTAGGGTCAACCTGTCTGAGTAACTTGAGTAGTTCAAGATCATGTTGTAAGAGTCTACCAGGGAATGATGCTTTTTTTCAGGAAGCAACAATGTTTGAATAATCAGATGAAGCCCACAGTTCATGTTGTCTGCAGCCTGGACAGAAATCGAACAGTATTTCCTGGGAATACATGGCAGGAGGTAGTCCAGGGTCTATGGAATGTCCCTTCAAGGTGACGCTACAGCAGAAATTTGATGAATGACTTTTCATAAATTAAATTCTTTCATGCTCTGATTTTTTTTTTTATGCTAGACTATGTATGCAGGGTAAAGGCTATCTTTTTTCATCTAATTCTCCATCCTATCTGGACTCTGGACACACTCGGCATGTTTTTTTTCCAAGCTGCAAGGACTGGGACTCAAAATACTGGTCAGCCACGTGGAATCCAGTTTCATTTGAGCCGCACTTAATCAACCGTGCTGTTACTACTGCCTTGTACACTCTGAATCAGTTATTTTACGAAACATTGCTGGCTTCAGTGCTATTACTAGTTAATTTAGGATGTTTACATTTACATTCAAATAGAGGCTGACCCATTATTTTTCTTTCTTGTACTATCCCTACCCAGTTTTGGTAGAAAGGCTACATTAGAATCACAAAATAAACTGAGTAACTTCTTTTCTTTTTCAATTATCTTTACAGTTTTCCTAAGATGTATACCCTGAAAGACTGCTAAAACTTGCTGGTAAAACCACTCAGGTTCAGTTGCAGTATAAGTAAGATCAGTAAAGATTTGGTTCTGATAAACCTAGGACCAAAATTTTAAGGACAGGAATTCAAGGGACAAACCTCTGTATGTAGGAACTTGCTATGTGACAAAGGTCTCACTGCATCAATGGAAGACAAGAAGTAGGGGCGTGGGATTCACACCAGCTGCTGAAGTAGTGCTGAATCTTACACCATGTATAGGTAAGGATTTTTGATGGGGGGAGAACACTACATCTTAAATCTATTAGAAGAAACTTTAGGAGAAATGTTTATGACCTTGGGGTAAGGAAGAATCGCTTGACTAAGACCTTAAAAAACAAACAAACAAACAAAAAACTGTAAAGAAAGAAAAGACAGATAAACTTCCCTATTTTTTAAAGTTTAAAATTTCTGTCTATAAAGTAAAAGGCACTATAAAGTACAAAAACAGTCCTTGGGAAATGTGCAACTCACATATTTGTAACCCACATAACTGACTAAGTGCTGGTATCCAGAATATAAAAAGAATGCCTATAAATCTAAGAAACAGACAAAAGACCTCATTTTCAAAAAGGTAGCGGAAATGAACAGGCAACTCATAAAAGAATAATCGTGAAAAGCCAGTCAATAAATGAAAAGGTGTCTCCTTCTGAGAACTAGTGATTTCATGTGGAGCGCTTACGCGCCACACGGTATTCTATTTTGTGCTTTTTTAAAAAAAAAATTATTTTTGTTTTTTCCTTCTTTTTATTTCTGTTTCTTTGTTATTGTTGTTTTTCTATTTTTCCTTTTCTTTTTCTTTTATCTCATCTCTCCGCTCCTCAATATCCATTACTGTGTTTCTAGACGGATCTAAGGGAACTATAGCCAAACATCCAAATACTATTAGGGTTAACATATTCCTCAATATCTACTGAATGTGCTGCACAAAGCAATCACAACAGAATGGGAAAGAGATTCCTCTTTCTGCTCGCTCCTGAACGTTCAGATTGAACGTCAAGAATCAGGAAGAAAGACACCATCCATCAGATGACTAGAAATCACAGCTGGACCACAAGAAATATTAGAAAGCAAGAAAATACCTCTCCTCCAAGGGAAAAGAGTAACTCCTCTTCATCCACAGACAGTTCAATGGAAATTATGGAAATGTCTGATAAAGAATTTAGAATATTCATAATGGCGAAGCTAACAGAGATGGAAGAGAAGAGACAATGAACTGTGGAAGAGAAAGGAGAAAGGAGCTGATGAGTTCCAGGAGGTGAGGAAATTCTTGCAAGATCTAAAAGAGGAAATACACACTTTAAAAAAGAATGAAATGGACCTGTTAGAGGTGAAGGCTCTAATACAGGAAGTCAAAATCTCCCTTGAAAGTATTAAAAGCAGATTAGATCATACAGAAGATAGAATCGCAGACGTAGAAGAGAAAATTGCTGGCCCAGTAAAATCCACCATGAAGAATGAGAAAATGGCCCCCAAAAATGAGAATAATATACAAGAAATACTAGATACCATCAAACGTCCAAACATCCGGATAATTGGCATCCCAGAAAGCGAAGAGACTCATAAGGGCATTGATAATCTATTCCATGAAATCCTGCAAGGAAACTTTCCAAACCTGGAGAGGCACTCAAAGATCTAATCCCAATAAATACAGAGGACCCCAAATAGAATCAACACAAGAAGATCTTCTCTAAGACATATTATAGCCAGGTTGACCAAAACCACAAAGACAAGATACTAAGATAGGCAAGAGAAAAACATCAAGTTACCTACAAATGATATCTCATCAGACTAAGAGCAGATCTCTCACTGGAAACAATGCAAGCGAGGAAAGAATGGGAAAATATATTCAAA